GCAGAAATGTACTCCTATTTAGGGAATATAAAAAAATGATACTCCTATTTTGGAATTTCAAAACGTTTTTACTCCTATTTAGAGAATTTTATCAAAATGAAAAGGTTGAAACTAAAAAGGAATTATAGGATTTGATATCTTAGTTTGGTAATTTGTTATTCAGATCCTAAATAGTGATGCTTTTTAAGATGTTGTAGGCTTGTAGCTAGGGGCCGGGGGAGGGGGCATAGAATCAATTTTATATAGAAGTTTAGTGGGCATGCTTTCACAAAAATCTCTAAAAGCTTCTAGTTTTATGTTTGGCATGACAATTTTTTAGAACTTTTTAAAAATTAAAATATCTTTTTTGAGATGCTACAGAGAGTAGCATCTGAAAAAGTCTGTGACTTTTAGTATTAATTAGTCCTAACAGTTTGTATATCAAATCGAACTAAATCAAACAGTCAACTTTTTACTAATAAACTGCTACCACGTTTGCTTTTTAAGATCTTTTCAATCACTAAAAGATAACAGTTATTAAAAAGATCATAAAAGTATCTTTTTAGCTAGTTGTTCCAAACAAGTGAATAACTAAAGATTAAAGGTTCCTATGCTTATCATACTTAGTCATGGACCCAGTTCGGGCCGCCCGGCCCGGGACCGGCCCGGCCCGCTACTGTGCGGGCCCAGAACCGGCCCGGTTATTGGGTCAGGGTCCGGGTCGGGCCTAGGCCCGGTGGGGGGCGGGTCCGGGCTCGGGCCTTGTATTTGGCGAACCGGCCCGGCCGGGTCGGGCCCGGGTCCGGGCCGAATTAATTTTTTTTTCATTTTTTTTTCATTTTTGGGGTTACCCGGGTTGGGCTTGATGGTTAGGAGGGGTTTGGGGGATGAGGGGGGTGTTAGGAAAGAAAAAAACAAAATTGACCAAACCGGAGGCCCGGCCCGGCCCGGACCCGGTGGCTACCCGGGCCGGTCCCAGGCCTTCCTTCCCAAAAAAAAAAGCCCGGCCGGGCCCGGCCCGGAACCGGCCCGGCCCGGATCCATGACTAATCATACTGTATCGAACATTCCATTTTGGGAAAGTCGGCTGCGAGAATTTCTTTTAGCGCGTTCTTGTGGAAGATGAATGCCAAGAATTTTTATGCTTATTATACATGTAGATGTAGAAAACAGTTATTTGCTCAATAGATTCGTATTCAAGAAAAATATGTACCCACAAATTAAATGAATTTTATTTAGTTATTTTATATCTGGGTGTAGACACAAAATATATTTCGTTTCCTGAGACATAAGTCATATTAATATACTCCTATTGTGTTTGTATTGAGAAGATTCCTACGTGTGGAAAAATATTGTTATACATACGGAGTATATTTGTTGTGCAAATTACTTGTCTGATCTATTTGTATCGATGGTTACAAATCTGCATGATTTTATATTTTACATTTGAAGCTCATTTTCTAAAGGGAAAAATAATTAAAATATCTCAAATTTTGAGAGAGTTTGAGATAAACACTCGAACTTGCATATGTTATTTAAATATCCCAAATTTTATATAAAAAGTTATTTTAGCACCATGAGCATATATTATTTCTTTACAGATCTAAATTTATGATGTTAAGTGTATAATTTAAGATAGCAAATTATAAATGGTGCAATTATACAGAGTGAGAGTAGTATTATTTATTTTACGATGAAAATTTAGAATATTAATTGTATCTTCATGAATGCTAAATTAAAATATTTTAAATTATGAAATTAACACAAAAATTACCATTTTTAAAAGAAATATGAAGTAATACATGACCATGGTGTTAAAATAAATTTTTATATAAAGTTTGGAGAATTTTAATTATTTTCCCCATTTTTAAAAGTGATTATTTATATATATATTTGGATAAAAATGTGACTAAAAAGGTAACATATTTGAAAAACATGATGTTAACTTCAGATTTTTTATGTCAGTGACCGATGTCACTGTCACACTTTTATGTCACTAACGAATGTCATTGTTGCCATGAAACTTGTCATTGTCACAGAGGGAAAATTTCTGAAAATTTTTTCTAACGAATGTTGAAGAAGAAAATCATCAAATTAAATTTTCTGTAACTATTTCGGCTTCAAAATTTTGGATAAACATTTTTGTGCTTGATAGAGAGTAATAGTGTTTTAACTTGGATTGAATTCTGATCTAGTCTTGTCTGATCTGATCTGGTCTAATATGAACTAGTCTAGTAGATATCAAGTCTAACTAATTTGGTTTGATTTATTTAAGTATAATCTAATCTATTTAGGTCTAATCCATTCTAATCTAGTTTGGGACCGAAATCGATCTAAGTAAAAAAAACTCCAAAAGAACTTTCGAGTTATATGAGTCCCAAAAAGAAGTATAATCTGATGGTGATTCTGTTGTAAAGTTCACCATTATGCCACTAGTATAGGCAGTGTACTTAAAAACATGAATTTGCCGCCTTTCATGAAATCCTGAATTGGAATGATAATAGTAAGAGTTTTTCCCTTATATATTACTAAAGTAAAGTCAATTTCCAAAAATGTGACCTTTACAAAATGACAATACATGACAAAGAATGTCATATATTTGAAAAAAGTTATGTCACTGTTGAATTTCATGTCACTGTCAGATGTCACTACTCTCATCGCCTATGTCACTGTCGTCATCACCCGTGTCCCAAAGTGATGGACAAACGGAAGTAGTCACTACTGCCACTTTCAATGTCACTGTGATGGCCAGAAAATTTTCCGCGTGCTTCTCTTGACAAAAAAAGTAATTTTTTTCCGCAGAACAATGACTTTCCATCCCCATCCCCAAGCCCTTGCACCCCATCCGTGTGTGCCCTTGTCATGTTCAGCCCCTGATCTGCCACGAGCCACGCTCCATAGCCCATATCCTGCCTCCAACCACGCTCCCCAGCTTCAGCCCCGACCCAACCAGGCAACCATGCCACCATCTCCCCTCTCCTGCTAAAACCTTACCCTTTCTGTTAGCTTAGCCGCCAACTGTTAACCCGGCCCACCATTTTCCCCAGATCTGATCACTTGTTGATCTCCATCTGACGAGGTTGGCGGAGAGGCGGCGAGGCGAGGGGAGGCGAGTCGAGGTGCGATGAAGCGGGACAAAGAGGCGGCTAGGCGCGAGGAGTAAAGGCATGGCGAGTCAAGGCGTGGCGTGGCGGTGCATGGCGAGTCAAGGCACAACGAGTCGTGGCGGAGAGGCGTGACGAGTAGAGGTGCAGGGAGGTGCGGCGACGAGGCGCGATGAGGCAGGGCGGCGGGTTGGAGCAACAATGGCAATAGAGAGCTCGATCAATGAATGGGAGAAGAAAGAAGGTGCAGAGTTGGGGTGGATTGAGGGATTGAGTGAGAGAGAAGGTCACTTTTCTGTTCGGCTTTAACCGTCATATTTTTGTCCATCTAAATTCCTAATTAATATTTTTGATTCAATAGTAATTATCCTATATAGGACTAAAAGTAAACTGAAATGCACAAATGGGATCACATTTTTTTATTTCCTAAATAGGACTCCGGATTACCATTATACCCTCTTATATAATAAAATGAAAACCCTAAAAATTAATCGCAAGACTTCTCATCGGCTCTCCCGTGGTTGCTTCACATGAGCTCTCTGGATCGGCTCTCTCTGCCGCTCCTATTCGCCACAGCCGGCTCCTCTTCTCTTCTCCGCCTCTTATTCTTCCGCCGCCTATCTTTTTCATCCCCTCACTTGAACGGTATGTCCTTCGTCTTCCCTTTTTTTCGTCTTCTTCTTCTTCTTCTTCAACTCTTCCAGTCTTCCCCTTCTTCTTTTCCCTCCTCTTCTTCAACTTTCATCTCTGTTATTCATCTGAAATTTCATATTTTGTTTCATTGATTTTGTTGTCCTATATAGGACTAAAAGTAAACTTATACAACCCAAGGAAAACTCCCGAAACAAGAATAAAAAAGTTTGAAAATTTCAAAACAGAACCGCCATGTTTTTATTCTTAAAATACGAATAATTATTGCCATGTTTAAAAAATATTGTCATGTATAAAGTCTAGTACTAAAAAAACATTATTTACCTATACACATGATAGTACTATTTTGAAATATACAAACATCTATAGTTCTATTTAGGATAATTTACCTAGAACCTATGTATGTCACTCAATACTATAAAGAACCTGTTAAACTTGCAAATCAATTGGCCGATTTTTATCCAAATTATTATTCAAATTGTGAGCACATTTGGTAACACCGAAATTGGTCGATCCTGCTGAAATTTATGAAGTTCTGGCTTAAGTGGCTGTATTGGCTGATTCTGCTGATTAATAAAAAAAATTAAATTTAAAAAATATTTTATCAATAAAATAAAGAATAAATTATATGTAAAAATAGCTAAAATGGTCATCTATAGTAATTTCAACCGAAACAGCCAGAAAAGTAACTTCAACCTTACTTTTTCTTATTATTACAGATTTCAACTCGAAAAATCAAAAGTTACGTGTTTAGTTAGGCTTGGACCCAGTTCGGGCTACCTGGCCCGGTACTATTTGGGCCCGGCCCGGCCCGGGAACCAGTACCGGGTCTAGGCTCGGTTTGTAGGGGGTAAGTGGGTCAGGTACAGGCTGAGGTAAATGAGAACCGGCCCGGCCGATCCCAGGCCCAGTTCGGGCCTTTTCCTTTTTTTTTTTTTTGTTTGGGGCTTTAGGCTGGGTTTAAATGGGCTGGAATGGGTGTTTGAGATGGGTTTGTGGGATGGGGGGGTTGGGGTAGGGATAAAATAATCAAGAAAACAAAAAAAAAATAGAACCCGACCCGGCCCGGGCGCCCCTGACCGGCACCGGTCAACTTCCGGGCCGGTCCCGAGCCTCACTGAATTTTTTTTTGGCCCGGCCGGGCCTAGGCCCGAACCGGAACCAGACCCGAATCACCCGATTGAGTCCATGACTATGTTTAGTGAGAAATTATAGAAAATAAAGTTTACGTATAGTGATTGATGTCAATTTAGTTGGTCTCAATAACAAGAAATATACGAAAAATATAAATGAATATCAACCAAGTCTACTAGTTACTACTACTAGAATGACACTTTGGGGGTGACATGGACATACATTTTTATTTTACCCCCACTATGAAATTGAGACCATGAATGAAAAAGTAAAACTATATGCAACTACCATCATTGTAAAAACATTAATATCTGCTATTTCAAAAATTGTTTAATTCATAACCACCACCTTTTATAATCGGTAAAGAAGCTACATGTTAATTGTTAAGCAACGAACGTCAGTCTTCATTAGAATCTGAACTTCCATATTCATAGCATTCATTACTGTTTTCAATTTCTTCATCATTATCGGTGTCTTTTTCTCCATTGTCACCAATAGTGTCAAGTTGAGGCAAAATGTCCAGTCCTTTGCTTCGATAAACTAACCCGGTCCTCATCACATGATGAAATTTGTCCCTATGGCGAGTAAGTGGATGCGGATCTGCCAGTCTACCACGACGGTAACCCTCTCTAAGTGCCACAGTCGTCGTTTTACACTTCATTGAAAGGTAAAAAATCCCAGGGTACCTAGTAAATATTCTGGTGAATCTGTGGGGGAGGTTCATTTCTTCCCTGAGGCTCCTTAGGTAATTTCTCTTTGTTTTCTTGTAAAGGGTCAAGCTCAAGATTTCATGAAGCACGCCAACAACCCGTTTTTCCATTAGATCACTGTCAGGATCTATTCCCCTTGAATCTTCATAGGGAGAAATGTAGGGAAGATTCTGAAAATCCTCCATCCAGGCTTTCACCTTCTTCTGTGCACCATAACCCCTGGGGAAACTCATGGGGAATTCCAATGTCGATTTCCCTCTTCGAAAATTCCTGTACAAGGAACTTTCAGAGTTATTGTCAGCTGACTCGACCTTTTCATTCATCTTCTGGAACTCAGAGAATGCAAAGTCTTCTTTCCAGTTGAGAAGTTTTAGACATGGTAAACCATTTGTGCCCCTTACGACGGTGAAATCATCTGGAAATTTTTTTATGAAGTTCCGATCGAAATCATCAGGCAGACCTAAATCCCATTTTAGTCGATGCAGAGATAACACAGGTACCTATTTGTTATTTAAAATATGTTAATGATAAAAAAAAGGTGCAGAATCGGCATAAACAGAAACGGAAAATAAAATGCAAAATATGCGAAGTTCAGATCCCTGTTAGTAGAAACTCTTAATAAATTAACAATAGTTGCCAAAAAAAGCAAAGTATTTTGATTATCATGGTGGAAGCATATGCCTTCACTTGACACCTGAAGCTAAACAGGCACCCTCTAAATTCTCAGTTTTAAGGTTTGCTAGCATCAAGGAAACTACAGTGAAGGGGGGATGCTAAGGGGAGGTGTCATATATTTGGCTTTTCCTTCAAAAATTGATACTAACACAGACGATTGGAGTAGAAAATATTATTGAGAGCGTAGAAAATAAGAAGGATACAGCCGAGACCAATTCGAGAGGGCATCGATATCTCCCAAGATCCCAAATTTTCCCAAATCCCAGTCTAATCCTACTATTTATTCTAATCCTACTATTTATTCTATTCCCAAAGAGGCTTCAGCTCAAAATAACTAATTATTTGGGCCCAGCTCACTTCCTTATTACAGCTTATTAAAATATTATTTCTATTAATTCCCTTGCCATCTCAGGTCCGTATCAACAATACAAAGGAAAAGTAAATAAGATTGATTTATTCTGTTTAAATTTAGATATTTGGACTTGGTGTTTAAGCATATGTATGTATGACATGTTTTTATTACAAACATTTGTTCCCTTCAAATGTTCTTTTCATTTTCCTCTCTATTTCTTGGCATTGTATTTTTCTGGTTCCAAAAAAGCTTCAACTCATCCTTTGCTTCTAAACATATATTCTGATAGCTATGTATATTTTATGCATCATATGGATCATATTATCTAAACTCAGTCCTGTTTGTTTTTAGTCATAAAGAACCCATATCATTGAAACGTTTTAAAATTTACATGGTAAATTAATCAAATAGATATGGAGAAGCACAACATTAAAAAAGTATACTATCCTTGCAGTTTCAATGAGGAAAATAATCTGACAATGCATCCAACATACGGACTTTACCATTCTATTCCTGGTCATCATGAGGACCCTGGAGAGCCTCTCCATCAAATCACTTTGAACATCATCATACACCTTCATTTCTTGATCATGAAGAACTTTTGCAATGTGGGTAAGCTTAAAGCAAGGCAAAGATGGATACTTGGGATGTGGGAACTCCTCAAACAGAGTGGGGAACCGGCGGATGAACCGGAGGGTGGGAACAGTGAGACCAAGGAGTTTGTGGGAGTCAACGAGGGAGTTGGAGTTGAGGTATCCGGTAGGTGAGCGTACAATAGCATCCTTGAGAAGGCAAGCAGCTTTAAGATCTGTTTGGACGTCTATGATGTGATCTAAGCCTCGGTTTTTCACCCATTTCAGACGAACTTTTACAATTGTTCTGTAGTGATAAAGAAGGTGGGCATGGGCCTTTTGTTGGGATTTTAGGATCGAGAAGATCTCTTTTGTTGCGGACTTCATTAATATTTAACTAAATCCAGATCCTCTTCCAAGTAGGATGGTGCTCACAGAGTTCAACTTCAGCCAACATGACTTTATAGCACTAAATTCAATTCTTGAAAGTTTCACTGAAATTTAAAAATCTTCACCTTCTAATTAACCTGTCAAAACGAATTCATATGGAACTTCGTACTACTATTCTACAAAATTCATGTGCATTCAGTCTCTAATACAAATGAATCTTTAACTATAAAAACAAATAACAAGTTAGGATGTTTTTACTTGGACTGTAATTTGCTGGTCTGGTCTGATCTGGTCTGGTAAGGTCTGGTTTCTTTGTATTTTTATAACTATCCAAGTCTGGTCTGGTCTGGTCTGAACTGGTCTGAACTGGTCTGGTCTGGGGCAAATTACAATCCAAGTAAAAACATCCTTAAACAACTCAACTATTCAAACTTAAAAGCCAGTGTCTACAGAGTTCTCTTGATAACAAGTCACTTTGTCTGCTAATAAAACCTAAATACTTTCTTTACTCTCTGCATCTTTGTCCTAACATACTACGTATTGTTTATTCACCAGACCCCATCACATAAAACACAAAACATATGTAGCAACAATACAGCATATTAGGGACGAAAGTAAGCAGGGGGCAGAACTAGCATTTTAATTGAGCATGGGCCAGAAATTAATGCATATAAAATAAATTCAATTGCAACAACATAAAGTACAAAAAGACGTATTACAAATATTTTACAAGAATCCACAACACCATGTGATAAATTATACGTAGTATAATATTAAAAAGACTCACAAGTAAAAATCGTATTTAAAACAAAGGGGTTAATACTTAAATACTATTTTTAAATTTAGTTAAACAACCAATAAATTTTGAACATATACAAGTGCGATTCATGATGACTAATTGTTTGATCTTACTAAGTTACCACCCAGATTGCTTTGATAATGAGATGTGGTATATTCCAACCAATCATGTTCAGAAAATCTTTAGAAACATTTATGGTTATCCGATTTCTTGGTGAAGTAGAAGAAATTTGAGAATATGCTTAGCAAACATAAATGATACTAATCACCCCTGTTACCAACAAGAATGCTTTTAACGTTTTTTATACTGATCACATTGATATATTAATTCACTGTCTTTGTAATACAAGTTGAAAACATTGCACTGCTAAGGTATTTGTAACAGTACTTTAGTTACTATATTTACACATCAAAGAGAAAATTAAGCTTTATTCCTAAGCTCTAACCCAATCTAGGTACACATTAACCTAAACTAGATTTTATTACTTCTTCTCATCGGAAGTTGGGTTAAAAATAATCAACAACTAAACAAGAGCTTTGTTTACAATAAGACACAAATTTAAAATTGGGATTAAATTTAAGATTATAAAATGAAGACATAAGATTGAAAAAACATGGTAAAGACCGGAAGTCTGAATGATCGAATAACGAAGGGTGTGAAAATTTTTATATTTTCTTTCTTCCTAAATTTTACTGATTGAAATTTCAGAAAACTACAATTTACTAATTGACTAAAAGATGGTCAATTCATCATTGAATCTGAAAATTTTCTGAAAGACATATCATAAAAATTCACTGATTGAATCTGAAATCATTTCCGCTTAAAATAAAATCTGGAATTTAACTTTTAATTTTGTCTACCTAGCTGAGTAGTTAGTACGAAAGACGGCAATGGTAGTTTTCTCCAGCGTTCAGGTGCGGCCAAAGGATGCAGTCGACAGTCAAGCTGGGCGGCGGAGCTGCGCGCGGTAGCTGGTGGTGGGTCACAGGGGTGCTGCGAAGACTGGTAACTGGTGGACTAACCGCGGAAGAGGACTGGTTGCTGCCTCGTCGGTAGTGCTGACCTGCAAAAGAAGATGAGATTTTGCTGCTGTTTGAAGTTTGAGACTTAAAAAGTTCAAAATTTGGAGTGGCCAAACAAAACTTACAGAATTAAAGTTTGAGAGCAAATTGCAGATGCCGGCTAGGACATGCGGCATAGTAAATTCATACTACTATAAACGATGATTACAACTTTATAAATAACAATCAAATTCATACTAAACAAGGCTGTAATTTAGTCTTTAAATTGAATTAAAAATACAATAAAACTAAAACTTAAAATCATACAAGTCTGTAATTAAAATTTAAAAACTTAGTTAACTTAGTAACTAACCCGTTAGGTAGTTCCGAAGCTGCAGATTCCCAGTTTACCACCGAAGAGCTAGCAGAATTACAAAGCCAGAAGGGTTGCAGAAAGCCAGATTCCCAGATTCCTAGTTCAGCAGCTCCGGCGTGGGCACGTGGCGGCGTCCGTTCGACGGCCGACCAGCGAGGCAGCGCCTGACGATTGACGATGGGTTGCTGCGGGCTCTGTGCTAGACTAGATTGCTACGTTGGGATTTGGGGGTTTTGAGAGTTTGGGCCATTGTCTAATTGTGGGCTTGAACAATGGGAGAGGGCAGGAGGGACTTGGGCGGAGTGCGGACGAACAAACCTACGGACTAATGGACCTGGATTGCTCTATGTAAACAATTTTATAACTGGTAATTCTATTGAGAGCCCTGAAATTAATATGTGCAGCCACAAAATTAAATATTAATTCTTTTTCTAATGAAGAGGATTGTGAAGCTATCTCGGGGATTCCATTACAAGTACTTCGCGAGAAGGACGAATTGATTTGGGCGGCCGAAATTACTCAGTTTGTAGTTGATACCAGTTGCTTTTACCGCATGTCGAAAATAGGTAGGCATGGACCCGAGTATGGAAGCTGAATCTACCACCTATAATGAAAAATTTTTCTGGCAGGTGTGTACGGACTGTTTACCGTCTAAGGAGCGGTTGCTTCAGAGACGAGTACCGGTGTGGCCGGTTTGTAGCACGTGTGGTGTAGACAGGGAGAGTACGATGCATGCTTTTCGGGATTGTGTGCGAGCAAAAGAGGTGTGGCAGAGCCAAAATAAATCTTTTTTGCAGGTTGGGGCTACGACTTTCACAACATGGGCTGATGCAGTCAGCGGCACGTGTTCCAAGGAAGAGCTAGAACAATTTGTGTTGATTTGTTGGAGTTTATGGAAGTCTAGAAATGATAAATCATGGAAGAATATTAGCACTAATTGGAGGGGTGTAGTATCCAGGGGAGAAATGATGCTTTCTGGGTGGAAGGAAGATCGGGTTCAACAGAGTGACTGGAAAGCTAGCTTTGGGGGATGTGATGGCACACAAGGCAAATAGCAGCCTCCGGGAGCGGGCGTTGTAAAGATAAATGTCGACGCGGCGGTTCATTCGCATGGGGATTGGCGGGCACTTGGATACTAGCAAGGGATGATAAAGGCTCGTTCATAGCAGGTAGAAGTGTCCAGGAACGGGGACGTTTCTCGGTCAGCACAACAGAGGCCTTAGCGATTCGTGAGGCAGTTTTATGGGCGGCACAAGCTGGGTGGGCTGAAGTGATTGTTGAGTCGGATGCACTCTCGATTGTTCAAAGGATCGCAAATTCGGATGGCATCTCTTACGAAGATAATATTTTTGCTGAAATTAGACATATGATAGCTAGATTTGCTAATTTAAATGTCCACTATGTGCAGCGATCAGCGAATCGGGTTGCCCATGCCACTACTAGAATTTTCCTTATTTGATGTTACCCATTTGCTGCGGTTCTTACTTAAACTGCAGGAAATAGGTAAAATTTATAACTATTTACTGCGGTTGTACTACGACCGCAGCAAAAGGTTGGAAAATTTGATACTTTTTGCTGCGGTGATGTTAAAACCGCAGCAAATACTTATATTATTTCGAATTTTAAATTTTGTTTTGACGTTTTTGCGACGGGCAAGGAAGAATCGCAGCAATACCATTGTATTTCCTCACTATTTGCTGCTATCATTGGGAACCGCAGCAAACGAACCTTTAAAATTCCTTTATCATCTTTTTCTCCTTCCAATTAGGGGGGTGTTTGGATTTGATTCTCAAAACTGATTCTGCTCCTTCAGGGAGCAGAAGCAGAAGCTGGAGTGTTTGGCTGAAATTCCAGAAGCACTTCTGGTGCTCCAATTTACTCTTAGAATCAGTTTTTTTAGAAGCTGGTAGGTTCCATGTAACATCCTAAAATTTACATATTTTAAAACTTGAAAATAAAAGTAAATATATAAAGAATCTAAATTATTAAACAAAAGTTTATACCTTTGATGGGTGTTTTAACTATTAAACTCTACTAAAATAAATTACGGTAAAAAGAAAAAAAATGAACAATTGAATCAAACTATAGATAAATAAACTATATATCACCGAATAGCAAATGTTATGAAATGTGATATTTACTTAGTCAAATAATATTCATACGAAAATTTAATAAATTGAAGTGCAAAGACAAAAGTCAATATGTTACATTAGCTGACATAATTCTAAAATTATAAAATAATTATACACATGTTACGAAACATCTTATACCATGCATAACAAAACAAATATACATGCATAACAAACAAACCCATCTTTCTCATTCAAAAGTCCCATGACATTTGGCAATAACTCACAAAATAGAACAAAATAAATTGCCACTCTCAATACTTGGGATTTAGCCACGTAGCTATAGCATAAAACTATATTTAATTATAACTCCAGTACACCATTACAAATATCACATGCAATCGGCAGATCGAATAGAGCTCATGCATGTGTATTGTAAACCCAACAAAGAGATTTTTAGGAAGAAAGTAAAAATAAGAGAGAAACGAGAGTATAGAGAAGAGAACTGAGAAAGAGAGGAGGGAAAGGAGAAAAAAAAACTAGAGAAAAGGCTAAGGAGAAAAGTTTGTCAATGTTTAAGGTCTGTGTTCATTCCTTCCCCTAAATATATTTTAAATTATATTGTTGTTGTTTTAATTTTATTGATACATTTCAGTTTAAATATATTGTTTAGCTAAACTGCTATGTTTTAATAATTTGCATGCTGATCTATTATTTCTTTAAAGAATAACTATGTTTTACTCACAAAGTTAAAGACACATTACATGCTATAAATTTAAGGGAATGAATGGTAAAATGTCAGAAACAAAATGTGTCGGTGTTGAATTATCATGGACGTTTACTTAGTTCAAACATTATAAAATATAATGATAGAAATTTCAACTCATCAGTTACCACATGTATACTATGATGTAAAGTACGTAGACATTAATTTTAAATATATACTAATTACATGTGCATGATGTAATGGGTTACACATAAAAGTGAAAAGAAGTACTAGGTAATATTTATAATAGTGGAGATCGGGCTCAGCAAATACGATAGGTTTACATAACTCATGCACAACAACTTAATCGACTCCAGAACATTATTTATATAACTCGGAACATTGTTATGCTACATAAACTCAAATATATTACTTATATCTATTCAGATATAAGTAATTTTTGGTTGGTTATAATGATGATGTTATTTTAATTGGAAGCTGATAATCATAATAGTAATCATACATGCGTAATTCAAATAAATAAAAATAAATGGAATTCGAAACCTCGTTTCTGGATTCGGATAGGTTGGCATGCCAATAGGGATAAAAACACGGCCGTAGAATTTGATCAATGATTTCGGGTCTGTAGCTACCGAGTGGACAACACCCAAATCTTGATTTCGACACACGCGCGCTCCTATACGGGTCCGTAGCCACCGAGTGGACAGTACCCAAAATGTTCGTTTACGGGTCCGTAGCCACCGAGTGGACAGTACCCAAACGAACCCGGCCAGAGCCACCGAGTGGTCCGTGCCAAAATAGTTCTCTGATGGTCCGTAGCCACCGAGTGGACAGTACCAAAGATGAGAACGTCCCGTTTATCCAGTCCATTAAACTAAGGAGTAGAATTCCTGCAATATTAATAAAAGAATAAAAGTGTGAAAATGGGCAAAAATGATGTAGAATGAAAATGAGCAAAAGATGAAGATTGAGCAAATGAAATTTATGATGAGACAAGAAGAATAAGAATAATGTCGAATGGAATATTGATTTACAGTGAGCTATGATATTGCTCATGTGAAGTTTGACTATGATATGGAGTTGTGAAGATGAAGGCAGAAACAATGAAAGAAAATGTGGAAAATAGGAATTGAGAAAAATGAAGGAATGATATGAATATAAAAAAAAAGACGTTAGTATGCAAAATGCAATATTCAATTGAAGGATTAGATTTTGTTCATGAATTATTTATTCTGAAATAAGCTAATGTTGAATACGAGAGACAAGAGAATAAATTAATACGAAGTATTTAGTAAGTTATGGTTTTATTGGAATGTTGCTCTATATGCTCTAAAGAAAATTTTCGAGATATTAACCACTCATTTAAATTAAGAGTATAACTTCAAATTGGAATATTATACATTCTGAAATATGTTGACATTAGTATTTAGAACAGAATGGAATATATTGATCTAGCTAGTTTGAAAGAAACGGCAAGTTTTAAAAAGCTTATCTAATAAATTTTGTAGTATTCCTGACATTTAAAGTTCAATACCTTAATGTAGCTAAACGGAATTTTATATTGAATCTGGTTACAAACTAATAATGAATTGAGATAGTTATGAGTATTAACTATCGAGATCATAACTAAAGAATTGATTTTTGTATTGAATAGTTACTTGAAACAAAATGTAATTTTATGAATCACATAAGTTAACAGGTAAAATCAATCTGGAGAAAAGTATAATTTTTCAATACATGTTATTTCTAATTGTTGAGTTATTTTGAGATATTTGATATTGAAATTGTATGGAGAAAGAATGAACACCACTAAGCAAGATTTGCTTAGCGCGTTGGATTTTTGTCCTTCGCGTAGGTACATACTACGAGGCAAAGTTCAAGGAGAAAAGCATTTGGGAGCAACCTGCCAATCAGCACAGAGTCACACTTGCATATTAGTCATATTACATTTTAGCCTGCATATTAATCATGTATTTAGTATAGTAATATAATGTAATAGCAGCACCAAACACTTACGTGTTATGTATAAAATATGAATGCTTCCGCAATTATGATATTTCATAAAGTTATTATCATTAGCATGTTTTTTTAAATTAAAGTAAATTTGGAATAATGAAAAAGATAATGAAAAGCTAGTCTGCGCTTTGGTGCTCCGGCACTGCGGGTAGCGCTCCCTACCCTAGCCTTCCGGGCCGGGTAGGGGGTGTTACATTCCAGCTTCTGAAAACTGATTCTGATTCTGATTCTGCTTCTGCTTTAAAAAAGAAACAGAAGCAGAATCAGTTCCAAACACTCCCTAGATTAGATGCCCAAATCCCAGCCTCTTTCTTTCTAGCGGCTTCCAACGGTCCGGAGCCTGCCGTTTCATGCGTCGCAACCCTGCCATCTCATGATTGTAACACCGTCCCCAAGTATATTTACTTTTGTGTAAG